AAAAATCAACATTGCCAACAATCTGGTGCAACACGATAGAATCAAACATGTGGAGATTGATGGAATCTTCATCAAGGAAATGTTGAATAACGGACTACTGGAGCCAAGTCATGTAACTACTGGAGAGCAAGGGGCTAACTGCCTCACTAAAAGACTAAGTTCATTGAAGTTGCCTAGATTATGTGACAAGATGAGCTTATGGATGCTTTTGCCCATCTTGAGGAGGACTCTTGAGAGTTATGTGTAAAATAGATTATTTGTAGGGTTTATTTATAAAAGTTGTAACCTATTTAAGTCCATGTTATGAGTGAAATAGTTAGGTTTTTTGTAGAATTATTTTCAATTAATTCCGAACCCCTCATCACTTAGGATGCTTTCTAAATAAAGTGCCAACAAAAACTGAATAAAACTTTTCCTACTGAAATATCTCAAATAAAACGAAAAATATTTAAGTGTAAATTCCAAAAAAGTCACCCAACTATCATGTTAGCCAATCTAGACCTGGAACATCATATTTCTCCAATTTAGGCCCCCGACCTCACAAATTGATTCAAACTATTTCAAGTAGAAATTCAAATACAAAATCGATCCATTTTAGTCATTCGACAGCACAAAATTGATTCCAATCTAACTCCTAATGAACTATCTTTTTATCAATTTTATATAATCGAGAGACTAAATTGAAGAAATATGATATTCGAAGGGTAAATTGGCCCCCATATTAATAATCTTAAAATTATAAATAAAATAATGAAATAAATTGGTCAGGAATAGTAGGTTAGGAAGGTTTGAAATGACAACTGAGAAATTCATTTAGAAAACTAATTTCTTGTTTCCAACAGCCGAGTAAACGTGCCTTCTGTTAAAAACCACCCATAAGATGTAATTTCAGCAATAATTTAGATCAGTATAACTGGTTTACCCCATGTAGATAGGGTGTGTGCATGGGACAACTTATTTTATGAATCTTTATTTAGCTTTGAAGCTATGAATTAAATGAAATGAGCAACTCAAAGAACAGGGATAGAACATGAGGGCAGAAACAGAAATATCATCAAATATGATGAAATAAAAAATAATTGTCTACAACAATGATGAGCTACCTCAAAAGATAGAATTGTTCCATGAAAGTGCGCAGACAGTTAAACATTTGTGTTAAGTATTAAGAAAAAGGGGAACATTTACATACATAATACAATTCTTGTGTATTGACATATCCCACGCCTAAATATTCATATTAATATCACATAAAAAATAGCACTATTACCACTTTTTAAAAAGTGAAATGCATCTTTTCATGCATAGGTTTAAAACCAAAGTGCTACACATGTAAATATAAAAGTTCAGGTGTGAGATATGTAAGTGGATATAAATTATGTGCAATGTATGTAAAGTTCTCTTAAAAAAATCAACTGGCATTTCTTATGAGTTGTGGTCAGTAATTAATCGAAAAATAACAAGACAAAAACCAATGTAAGGTATAACAATATAACTTCACAAGATATTAACAGCCATAATGTGATAAGTGGCTAGATAGAACAAATGATTAGTGATAGCCATAGCAATATTACCTGCAACTAGGGACTGCAAGAATTTCTCTGTAACGTAATCCTCCTCATTGGAATTCTCAATAGCCAAACTAAATTTGTATTTTCTTAAGGCTTCTACTTTGTCCACTACATTAAGAAAGCGAAAAAAAAAAAACCAGTTTATTACTTAAAAAGTATATGTTTAGGAGCCAAATCAGTAGATAAAATACTTACTATTTGAAAGTATCCCAATTATTCGTATATGGCCAATTTAATTCAAGAGTATCATATTTCTTAAATTTAATCCCAAAGTTAAACCAAACTGCCCCCTCATATAGACATTATGATAAATAATTAATCCTAATTGAGCTCCTTAACTATAAAAAATTAGATCCAATATAGTCCTTGAGAAATTATTTTGGATCAATTTAGTATATTTGACAGATTAAGTTGAAGAAAAAAAAAATACTCTATGATTAAAATTGCGACAATCAAATCATCAAATACTATTTAAAAGTTTAAGCAGTGATTAAAATAGATAATATAATTGACAAAATTTTCCCTGTGGCCATTTTTTAAAATAGATTAAAATTAGATCTCAGAAAAATGAGTTCCTCTCTTGATCTCCATTTTCATTCTGTAGACTGATGTCAGGTTATCAATTTTTTGCAACTCCTGAAGTTTTTTCGCTCAATCTCTATTTCCGTTATGATTGTAATTGTTTATACCATCCATAGAAAAAGATATCTTGTCCTTCAATTTAATAGGTAGCCTGAACATACCATCATCGTCAAGGTTTCGGTGACAATTGCCATAAGAACCTATTTTGACGTCCATCTTTTGAAGTATGTTAAGCGCTTGCAAACGAAAATTTCGTGCCCCCGCAATTTGAAATAAAAGCAGCAGCAATGGCCTCTTCAATCTTGGGTTGCATAGGTGCCATGGTGTCATATCCAGCCCACGAGAAATAGCCAACAGGTACATTAGATGAGACGCTGGTTGTCATTTAGATTTTAAAACTATAAATTTTAAATTAAACCCAAATTTATGACTAAAAATTCTTGGATTAACTAACAAAATTATTTGCTTAAATCTCTCAAATCTCCAAATGAGCAAAACCAAAGCCCAATTATGGCATCTCTAAGTTCAAACAATGGACCTTTTGGTTTAATTGTAGTTGACTTAAACCATCTAATCAACCCAATTAAACTTAGTTTATTCAAATAATTATGTAACCTATCTTCTTAATTAAAGTCTAAAACCATAAATCCCCCAAAACACACCTTAAAAAACCTTGATATACTCTCCTAATGTCGGTCTAAACCTAATAAACACAAAAATCACAAAATTTAAGAATTTATAATTAATAAATTATTTCTTGTAATTAAATATTTAATTAATCAAAGAGACCTTGCATTAATCGTAATTCACAAGCTTCAATTCAAATGGCCAATGTTGGAACCCATTTCCGTAATTTCAAGAAAATTTTCAGATTTTTGTAAAATTAATTAGTTTTTTTTTTCTTTAATTGACTTATTTAGTTAAGAATATTGTAAAAAATTTAAACTGATCTTAAATTCCGACTAAAATTGCCCTTAGTGGTCCAGTACTTTGGGGCCAAATTTTATAAACTATAGAGGTTAGGTGATATAAAAACTAAACATAATTAAATCCACCTTCCAACGGGTATCACTTGGAGCTCTATCCAACATAATTATCAATATGTACTAAACACAATTCACAATAAATTAAATTATGCTTGTAAAAATATAAGTAAAGAAATAACATGTATCCTAATAATTACGATTGATTGAGGCATGAAAGCTGACATTTGCGTTGAAGATCCCTTCTCTATCGCCCTTGCCCCTTTGTCATGTGCATTTAGGTGGGGAAGGAAGAATCCGGCCGCATAAGAAAAATTATTTTATCCGGAGGCCGGACGTAAAATATGCATTCGGAGACCAATGAGCACATGTGAGCCCCCTCTCTCTATAAAACATGCTCCACCAGCATGAGCACATGTGAGCCCCCTCTCTCTATAAAACATACTCCACCAGCAATACAGTGAGACGCACTTGCCAAGTGGTAAGTACCCACTAGATTCCGAACGTAAATTTACGTCTAATGTCCTGATGAAATAATCTCTCGCCGCACAACAACTGTTTTCGTATATCCATTCAGAAATAACTTTAGGGATGCTAACTTGCCAGGTGACGTTGACGGTGTTCTAGTCTCTAAAAGTGAAATAAATATAGTGTATTTTTTTCTTATATTATTTTTTTTTGCTCATTTTCCTGGCATTCTCCAGCTTAGCTGTAAAATATTTATCACTGATATCTTAATAACATAAAACTCTACAAATAAATTCTCACAATACTTAATTATGATCTGAAATTTTATGCGAATATTATAAATTTATGGCGTTTAATAACTTGAAATGGCATATCATATAGAAATAATATGCGATGGATTCAAAGTTTTTGTGACTGCATCGTCTAAACTGGAACATGAGAAAAAAATGTGCATGTGCGTGTGTGCGTGTGTGTGTGGTGTGTGTGTGAGAGAGTGAGAGTGAGAGTGAGAGAGAGAGAGTGAGAGAGAGTAATTGGACAAATTTGAGAATGATTCCTAACGATATACTTTTAATATTTAACTCTCAATTTATGAATTTTAGGGTGCCTATTGAGACAAATATAATAGTTAGTAATACATAAAAATGCGTGCTATTGTTAAGTATGTTTTACTAAATACCAAAATGCGTGATAAAATTATTACCATCTCTATTTGCTTCTTCCTAAATTCAAAGTGGAGGTAGGTTTTGGGTAGGGGTGTAAACGAGCCGAACACGAGCAAGTCGGCTCGTTTATATTTCGAGCAGAGTTTCTGTTGCGGTTCATTTGCTTCGCGAGCCGACACGAGCTGTTCACGAACAAAGAATCATTTTGATAACCCCAATCATGTAGCCATAAGATGTTAATGGTTGGGGCAAGATTTAAAAATTATTGTTTATATTAAAACATAATTTTATTATATTTTCTTAATTAATACTTTTAATTGATTATAAATTTTTGCAGTCTTGTAGTCAATTAAATTTTTAAAAAATATTACTCATCAATATACATATATATTTGTGTGTGTGTGTTTGTGTGTGATTGATGACATATTACTCATCAATATACATATATATTTGTGTGTGGCTGATGAGTAGTAATTCAAGTCAAAACGAGCCGAACATGAACAAATAAATCTTTGTTGGTGTTTCACTCGTTAACTTAGCGAACGAGTTGAACACGAGTTTCTTAACAAGCCGAACACGAACTGTTAGCGAACAATGAGTCGTTTTGACAGCCCTAGTTTTGGGTGCTTTTGTTGTAAATATTTAAGTTTTGATTTTAATGATGAAAATTTTTCTCTTTTAGATGACGGGCATAGAAAAATCTCAAAAATAAAATATATCAAATTTTACCTTCAAATAATTTTACGAAGGAACAGAACTCCAATCCTCTGTTTTGCTTTCTACTTCGTGACTGAATTGCAGCCTCGTCCCCCTCCTCGTCCCCCTCCTCGCCCTCCTCCTCCTCTCCCCCTTCACCCTTTCTCCTCCCTGCACTACCATCGCTGCCGACGCCAGCCTCTCATCCACAACCTTCTGCTCGCTCACCCCTCTATCATTTCCTCCACCATCGTCAAAGATCCAACCGATCATCGCCTTTAAATCTTTCATCGGCAAGAAACCACTTCCCTGCACCATTCCAAAAAAAACATCCAGACACCCTTCGTATGCGCTCACCAACATCTTCAGCACAGCCTCCTTTATCTGCTCTCTCAAATCTGCATCCTGAATCCCATACCCCTTTCGATGCCGCCTCAAATTGTCCTGCATAGCCCCTGTAAAAGCCCCCACATCCCCCTTCTCCAACATCCTCACCATTGGCTCCCACGCCTCCGCCTGGTAAGCATAGGCCGCCGCCTCCACCGCCCCCTTGTACTTCCTCCTCATCTTCTCCTCCCCGACGAGTATCGCCAACTCAGACCCCCGTGTCTTTATATATATGTACCAATTCGTGTTCATGGCGAACACATGCGCCGCTATTCTATCTTCAAACTTCTCCCAGATTGCCTCCACGTTACGCTGCAGTGCATCGAGGACTTTCTCGAAGCTTTCTTTAAAATCCTGTTCCTGGTAGAGTTGAGCCATCGACCGCTCGTACCGGTCAGCCGCCACGCACTTGAGAAAATTGACGCCACAGATGACGACACTCGGGACCGATGCATCGGTAGGCGGCGGGAAATCGTTTTGGATGGCATCAATGCGGAGGCTGAGTGCTGAGAATGCGCGGAAGGCGGAACCGACGATGAGTTTCTCCAACTCGCGGGCTTGGGATGAGATTTTGGGAACGCAGTCGTCGAATAGGGCAGAGAGCGCTGATCGGAGGCGGTATGCGGTGTCTGCCATTTTGAGGAGATTGATGAGCGGCTCGCTGGGAGGGTAGGCAACTTGCTCGCCGATGCGGAATAAGACGAGCATGATGCGGTGGGAGATCTTGGCGAAGCACTCTGACCAGATGGTTTCGTCCATAGCGGCGGACAAGACTGCGCGGCAGAGGTGCTTCTCGGCTGGGAGGAGGGAAGTGACGGCGATGCGGATGTGGCTGATCCATAGGGAGATTGCGGGATCGACTGACTGGCAATTGCGGCGGACGTCCTTCGATTTGTATTTGTTGATGCTGTTCTGGTTTAGTTGGCTTAATGCTTTCGTGACCTGACGGCGCCTGGCCTGAAATTTTTGAAATCGACGTGAACAAAAGGCTGGATATATAACAGAATATTTTTAGTGGTTATTTACATCTGTACAATTCCATACCATGAAATTCCTAGGCATTTGAATAAATTTGAAAAGATATTTGATATGTTACTCATCATGGTGCATCGTTCTTCAAGTCCGCTCTATTAATAGGATGAGCGGTCGTAATTCCTTACTTTATGCCTTCAAGTTTTTGCATCTTTGATCTTCTGTTCTTCTTTCGTTTCATTTCTTGGTCGCTCCAGGTTTTCTATAATGGCCCGGTAGTACTCCCCTATCCCCTTCGACTCCATTAACAGCATTGATCCTTCGTTCTTGATGGAGAATGACATGAAGGAGTTGCAAATGGGGTATGTCATGCACGACAGCGCCACCCTCTGGAAATTGCTTGAATCGGCTTGGGAGACAGATTTTTTGGGTGCCCATCTAATCTTATATCAAAACCAATCCAAGTATGGCCTCTGGTTGCCTCTGTGTGATGAGCTTTGTAGCATTTTCAACACGTTTGGGGTTATTCCAGCTTAAGTAAGTTGTGATAATGACGTTTGTTCTTTTTATGTTGGCGAGTGCACATTTCGTGACATATCAACCTCTTTATGTATTTTTCTCGTTAAAGGTAGACGAGGAGGGGCTCACCATGTTTTCGACGAGAAAAGAGCTTCACCTGACAGGAGTGGAGAATAAAATAAGGTACCGGAAGAAGAAGAAGCTCTTGCTTGGTTCCTGTTCTGGCACTTGGGGGATTAGGCATGAGTTCGTAGAACGCTCTCCGTCCAAGACAAATTCTCTTCTAGAGAGCATGGAAGTCCGTAGGGAGATGTTAACCGGCCGTCATATGTCGGTCCCGCAATATACGGCACCAACGACGGTTACTCGTGCGTTGGCGAGTGAGATGCAGAGGTGTTATGGTGTGACTCAGATATCATAGAGAAAGTCTAAGCGAGGGAACTGAAGAAGAAGTTGGTTGTTAAGCGATGGAAGCAGAAGCGCACCTCAAAGTTAGGTAATTTTGTAGGGGATGAGGACCCACCCCCTCGCAGTGTGGCTTTGAGATACCTTATTTTTATGTCTGCTCATAACGATGTTGTTCACAACCAAGTTACTGGCAAGCTCACTGTTTTGTGCCCCTTTGCGCGAGTTTTCGGGTGACAGCATTCCATTGGGCTCGCGAGCCGAGGCTCCATCTTTCGTTGCTTTGTCAGAGAGAGCAAAGCCAGTCAGACCCTGCCTTAGCCGGTTCCTCTTTGCAACATCATCTTCTGGTAATCATGCCTCGTCCTCCCCTTAAAGGGCAAGTTTACGTCAACGCTGGAAGGAGCCAGTAAAGGATCTGAAGATATCATGTGTTCCTCCCTTGAAGAAGAGCAAGGAGGTTTTTGACTGGGAGCCTGTTAGTAGGAGTGTTGCACCGATCAAAACGTCAGACATTTCCGCTGAGGTCCAAGTGAATACTTCTCGATGCTCTCAAAGCATTTGTACCATTTTGTTCCTGAATCCTGTGTCAAAATTTTCACTGAACAACACTGGCATTTGGAGGACAACCTCACTGGTCTCAAAAACACTCTCCCTCTGGACTGGGATGTTTGAAACTACACTCAAATAGCAATTTCTAGATTGCTCCAAGTTTCCCTAGGTCATA